TAACGGTGTGTGTCGGTGGTTTACTTATAAATTAAATCAAAAACTTGTTTGTGGTCGTAGCATGACAAAATGTCCACTGTATATTGAGTGGAATTGTCAGTGACCATAACTCCCTGCAGTTCACAAACCACATGTTGAGAAGCTCCAGTTTTGTCTTTTTGTTCCAATGATAATTCTCAGGCAACAGCATGTGAATTCTTCTTTAAGGCTGAATTTTGTCTCCGCTGTGGTCTGATGGAAACACTGAGGCCTACTGAGTCATGTTTACGATTTATGTACGCACTTAAATCACACTAACGAAATCCACATCCTTTAACAAAACCGTGTAAAAATAAATATTTTTTTGTTTTATTCAATCAACAGCTTTAAATGCCCCCATGAATATTCCACTTCTAGCATTGGACCTCATTTTTAAATCCTTCCCCTTCCGTTAGCGTGGTTCCAAATGCCTGTGTCTATCTGCTCTGTGATCAGTGGGAGCAGAATAAATACCGTGTTTTAGCTTTCTTCTGTCGGTAATAACACCACAGGGGAATATCACTGTGCTCCGGCCCGGACGCCGACTTTCTTCTGTTTTTTCTTCCACATAATTACTGTGTTTAACGGTTGCTTGCGTCATGCGTGTCCCAAATATCTGTCTTTGTGTCCGCAGAGAAGGCGATAAATGCGGTCCAGCCGGAGTACATGGAAGAGCATGTGGTATATTCAAAGATCTAAACAAAACGACCACTAGGTTTAGTCAAATCAAAGCTCTGGTTGAATGTTGTGATGTCACTGAGAACGCTAACACAGCTCTGCACGCTGCATTTAACCACGGAAACCAGATACTACTGAGGCAAGGCCAGTAATTTATATATATATATATATATATATATATATATATATATATATATATATATATATATACAGTATATATATTAGGGGTGGGACCCGATTAAAAAAAAAAAAATCTAATTAATTAGAGTCTTTGTAATTAATTAATCCCATCTTAATTGCAGATAAATATTTGACATAAGAGTGAGAATAAATTTTTTTCACATGAATTATAGTATACTATTGAATAATGACTGGATACATAAGCTTAAGCAACAAAATGTTGTTTATTTTTGTTCAAGTCCAACAGACCAGTGCAATTTTTGCTTCCCATCCACGGGGCCAACCAGCGCGGTCACATCAGATTCTTTGTTTCTGGGTAGCCCACGTGAATTTAGTCTAATTTAGTCTGCAACCGCGAGAATCCAGCGAACACATGGGTCCTTCAGCTCCAAGCTGTAATACCCTATCCAGTTATTATAATAATAATCATGTTCACTGTGCCACTGTGGTTTGTTGTTCATCAATGCCATCCATGATTCATGCCGAGCCCCGGTGATCTAAGATGGCGTCGTATTCAAATGAATGGCTTGTGCTCAGCAGCGCATGGGACATACACGGGGACCGAGAGATTAGCAGAACTCGTCTATATTTGGGCATTGTCTGGTCCTCCCGGTTTTACGCAGTGGACGAGCTCCCATGATGCGTTGCGCCAAATACCCGTGTGTGGCTCTCATGCACATGCACAGAGGGGCTCGGCCGCGCTCTGACCAAACAACGCTGCTCATCAGAGCAGCAGCAGAGCGGGAAGGAAAAGGGCAGATTTTGTGGCAGTAAAGTGTGGATTTAAAGAAAACTAAAGGATTTAAGAAGAAAATAAGTTGACAAGAGACACTAAAATCCCCACAAAATCCTAAGGGGGCGCTGTGGTACTGCAGACTAAATTCACATGGGCTACCCAGAAAAAAGTCCCATTGAACTCATTGTGAACTAAAACAGCTCGACCTCAGCTGACAGAGAACCTGCAGCTCTTAGAAAGGTCGGATTTTTTCGGGATTTTAGTGTCTCTTGTCATCCTGAACTTTTTTCTTCTTAAATCCTTTGGTTTTCTTTAAATCCACACTTTACTGCCACAAACTCTGCTCCTTTCCTTCCCGCTCTGGCTCCGCTCTTCCGCTGTTCTGATGAACAGCTCTGATTGGTCAGAGCGCGGCCGAGCCCCTCTGTGCGCGTGCATGAAAGCCACACACGCACGTTTGGCGCGACGCATGTTGGGAGATATCTCCCATAATGCGTTGCGCTAATCCACTGCTCAGAACCGGGAGGACCAGACGATGCCCAAATATATATATATATATATATATATATATATATATATATATATATATATATATATATATATATATATATATTATCAGGGCCAGGACTTTAATTAAGATGAATTAATTACCAAAATTAGCACGTTAATCTTTTTTAACGCATTTTAATAGTATTTATTTTTGCACCGTGGAATGTTTCTCACTGGATGAGTTTCAGACAGACCAATTGTACTGGAGCACCAACTAACGCGCATGAATCATGGATCTATAATAATAACTGGACAGGGTACAAGCCCCGGCGATTCAAGATGGCGCCCTATTCAAATGAATGGCTTGTGCTCAGTAGCGCATGGGACTTCATGGAGACCGAGAGATTGGCTGAACTCGCCTATATTTATATATATATATATATATATATATATATATATATATATATATTACTTGAAGTGTTGTATATTTTAAGGCTGTAAAACCTCTCACAATACACTTTTTACACTATTCAAACCACCTGAACTCAGAAAAGCTGAAGTGCGATTGCAGAGATATCAAACCTGTTGGTCGTAGGTCCGAGCGCTGCTGCAGCTGTCAGAAGCCATGCACACACTGTCAAGCACCGCTGCAGAGGAGGGCCAGGAGCAGGACTTAGATAAAGGTCACTGTCATGTTATACTAGGGATTATATGATGTTGTTTATGATGTTGGAGTAAACACCTGCGACATGAGAAACACACATCCATCCATCCATTTTCTACCCTTTAATCCATTTCTGGGTCAGGGGGGTGGCAGTCAGAGATGCCACCCAAGTCTCATAGCACCAGCCCCTCACTGACCCTCTGCAGGTGGTGAGTCCACAGGAGGACGGCTGCTCTGAGTGTGAGCATAGCCTTGATCTTTCAGTGGGGGCTTTTGGGCAAAGTGGGGTTAAGTGTCTTGCCCAAGGACACAACGACAGCAGTCATCAGTGGGAGTCGGTGGAGAAGGTGTAGAGGTGGGAATTGAACCCACGACCTTCAGGCCTGAAGGCCAATGCTCTACCAACTGAGCTACTGTCGCCCCAAAGAAACACACAGTAAAAAAAAAATTCACATTTGGACACAGCGGGAAAAAAATAAATAATACAAAACAGCGAGGCCTCAAAGGGTGACCTGCATTATAGCGAGGGACCACAGTACTCCAACTCTAAAGTGAGTCTCAGTTACTTTTCAAAATGTGAACCATCCTCGCAGCTTCCTGATTGGTCATTTGTCATTGGTTTAGCTTTTCTCCTCCAGCTAATCTTATTGATTGACCGTACTTAATGAAGAAGGACAAAAGTAAGAAGAGCGAGAGACTGTTTTGATGTATGGGTGTTGAACCAAATATTTACTGTACATAAAAGTACAGTGTACCAAGGTCAGAAATATACATTATTAAAACAAAATTAATATTATTTCGGTTACTGACATCCCCTTTAAGTTCCCATAATTTCCATCTCGATTTTCTGAATCTTGTAGAAATGTCTTCATACTTGGACTCCCCAGCTCATTAAACAGAATCAGACAGCAATATTATATCTGTAGATTTGTTGAGTGTAATATTTGCCGTTCCTTTTCTAGTCACTCTTGATTTCATATTTTCTAGATGAGTTTTCCAGCTCAATCGTCGAGTGTGCTCTCTAAAAAATTCAATCCGGCTTTAGCCCAGTCTTCTTCACTCAATTCAATTCACTATATTCTCATACAGCCCTTAAAGGAGCAGTATGTAAAAATCTGGCCAAAATTGGTATTGCAAACTTCCCCCACCCTCCCTGACTCAGGTTGCCAGATATGCAGGCGAATCCAGTTTGGACCATAAAATCTGAATAGACAAGAGTTTTGTCAACAACAAATCTATAACCAACTCCTTTTTCACAAAGGCCTAAATAGAAATAGTTGTATTCCTTGTTTTGTCGTTAATGATTTGAGAATCATAACAAGACTTTTTTTTTTAAATACAGCTTTACTACATACTTTACCAGTGAGATTAGCTCGATGCTGCGAGTTCTGGCAACCCAGATCACAGAGTTTCTGATTGGTGAAATGGTGGAGGGCGAGACATCAAAATGAAAACAACAACAAGATTTAGATGAACTCTGATGAACTCATCTTATCCGTTAAAGAAGTATTTGAAAAGAGCATGGTTTTTTAATGCCTTTTTAAAGATTAGGGCCATTTAATGTTGACTTGACATGACTTGACAAAAATCTTACATACTGCTACTTTCATTACAACGGTAGTACAGTAAGTAGTATAAGTATAAGTTATAAGTAACATCAGCTGATAAATGGCAAGTCACCGAGGCATCCAACCACAAAAGCATTTTCACTCAAAACAAAATGAACCTTTTTGAACCAGTAGTTAAACCCTAACCCAAACAGATGTCAGCGAATCAAACAGTTAGAACACAAGAAATGCAATCCTAAAAAAAAAATCACATAGAACTGTTGAGCACTTTAATGAGCTTGCACTTGTATTGAAACTGTTTTAGTTGATCAATTTCATAGTGTCAATTGTGTTTGTTTTATTCCTGTACTTTTAATCTTGTTGATGTACCAGTCTTGTTCACATTGGGGACTTTGGCAAAATGTATTCCAACATGGTTTTACTGCAAACGGCAAAATAAAATGAATCTGAATCTTATCCGTGAGGGGCTGATGACCGATGTCCATATATGTTGATAAAGTCTATGAATGTCGTTGAATGTCGGGTGTCTTGGATCATCACCGCTGTCCTTAGACCCTCCTGCTTCAGCAAAAGAAAATCTCCAAACCCCCGATTGGGAGAAAATGAGAAACCACATGGAGGGAAGGATCCACTCTCACGGATGGACGGACTATAGATCCTACAGGACTCACTCCGTCTTCTTCCTCTTGTCTTTCTTCCCTGGGCTCCGGTCTCCAGTCCTGGCCTCTCTCCTCCAGGGCAGCCAGTAGTAGGACACCCCCGCGGTCAGGAGGTACGTGGCCATCCCGGTGTACCCCCCGATGACCAGGCACAGCGGCTGGGCCAGGACGAAGAGCAGAAACACGTTCAGAGAAGCTCGGTCGTCCAGCTCCACCTTGTCCTCCTTAGAAGCCCGCATCACGCCGAAGAAATACAGCAGCGCCACCGCCGGGTAGAAGGCCAGCTCCGCCATGACCTGAGTACTGGTCCGAGACGAGAACCTGAGTCTGGGTTTAGAGGGGAAAGAGGAGTGTGTGTGTGTGTGTGTGTGTAGTGCGGGGAGGAGCTGGGACCTTTGCACAGCCATAAACTCTGGTTAAATATTGTCTAAATTATGACGGCTTGAACATTAATAATGAACTTTGATCGGTTAAAGCTGGGGTATGTAACTTTCAAACCACAACAATTGGAACTATGTGAAATCCATATGAGCATTTTCTCTGCCTAAAAATGACTGGGTTTGATATAGTGTATTTATGGCTTCTGTCACATCTGTAGGTCAGCTTCGTACAGAAATCACTGATAAAAGGGAAAAATACTTAAACAGTAATTACTGTAAAGCTGGGATGCCGAACTTTATGGTTTTAATTATACCTTTGGACTGAGAGCTGATTGGTTGAGCGAGGCTGGTCCTCTATCTTATACTGAAAAATGTCTGAAAATGCTGTTGTAAAGATGTGAAAGAGGACAAATATGCATGCATGCACATCAAAAAAATAAAATCCAACTGTCTTCTGTGGTTTGAAAGTTAGGCACCTCAGATTTTCAGTATCTGGAAAGACTTGTGTGGATGGAGGTTAGAAAAAATAACAATATTTTTTTTTTCCCCCATATTGTCACTTTCTTTTGCCAAATTCATATCCTTTATTTGACCCACAGTGGAGAAATGATCCGTAGGAATGAGGAGCACACAGAAAAATATGAACATTAACTAATATAGTCAAATCAACTAAAATCTCTAACTTTATCATAATAAAGGAACAAGTATAAAACACTGTATATTCCATATTATTTCAGACGTTCCGTTCTCCAACACAGATTAGAATAAACATAGATTATACTGTGAGCTATAAACAGCCTTTCCCGCCGTCTCTAGCCCTGACCGCTCCATTGTGTGCGTAATTACCCCACGCGCGCTCTGTGATGTCTTTGGCACGTTGTTGACGTTGTCGTCGCTGCGTAAGCGGATTATAGGACGCAGGCTTTGGTCTCGGCTTGGGTCCGGTTCTGGTCCCGTTCCTCTGCAGATGTCCTCAGCGGGGGTTTTCCTCATGTCGCCTCTGGGAGAAATAACTGGATGTGTGTCGAATTTTTTTAGTTTTTGTTTTATGCAGAAATCCGCTGAGGGGTCCATTAGGTTCTCAGCGGTGGTGGAGAGACGCGCGCTGCTGTAGGCGGCGAATGAATCATGAGCAAAAGAAATAAAAAATATTCATATAGCTATAATATAGCTAGAAAACACAAAAGAGTTCATAAATAAAATCAAACACCTCCAGTTTGACAGAGATGAGACAGAGGTTTTGTATGATGTGACATCCCTTTTTACGTCGGCCCCGACTACAGAGGCGGTGCAGGCTGTTAGAGAAAGCCTCCAGAAAAACACCACACTAGGGGACAGAACGAAACTAACACCTGACCACATCTGTGAAATACTTGAAATGTGTCTTAACACCACGTATTTCCAATTTAGAGGCACCTTCTTTAGACAGATTCATGGCTGTGCGATGGGCTCCCCAGTCTCTCCAATAGTGGCCAATCTGTATATGGAGAAACTGGAGGAACAAGCCCTGGGCTCTTACCAAGGGACAGCGCCAAGCCATTGGTTTCGATATGTAGACGATACATGGGTTAAGTTAAAGAAACAGGAAGTGGAACCATTTTCAGAACACATTAATTCGGTGGACCCTTTTATAAATTTCACTTGTGAGGATGCTAAGGAGAGTGAACTCGCCTTTCTAGATTGTAAGGTCATCATACTGGAGAACGGACAATTACAGACTGAGGTCTTCAGAAAGTCCACTCACACTGACCAGTACCTGGCCTTTGATTCAAATCAAACACAACACAAACTCGGGGTCATTAGAACGCTTCAACACCGAGCCCACCAGGTCCCCACAAGCTCGGAGGGAAAGAACAGAGAAACCAAACATGTTCAGAGAGAACTTTCCAGATGTGGCTACCCCAAGTGGTCTTTTACTAAAGCCCAAAGGACGAGAAAGGCCAGAGACACAGTAGTGTCCTTACCGTATGTGGCTGGAGTTTCAGAGAAACCACAAAGAATCTTTAGGCAACACAAAATCCCTGTGTATTTCAATCCTTTCAACACAGTAAGAATTGATGCATCCCACACATGGTCTGAGATTTCATTCTCTTGAAAAAGTTCTTTGGATGAAGGACGAAACGTCCGGATAACCTGCTAAGAAGTACAGATGATGGGTGAGAAACCTTCCTTGGCTTGGATACAGCTATATTATTTACTGAAACTATATGGATCTAAATCAGTGTTCCCCAACCTTTTTGAGCCGCCACAGCTTTTAAATAGAACACAACCACAGGACACAGCACCTGAAACTGAACTGAATGTAACTCTGGAGCCTTTATTAACACCAAGTATGAAAATTCTAGAATTCCCATAGCAGTCATTTTGACTGCTTCCATTCCAATTCATTTGTTTTATTTATTTCAAACATGCACGAGATATATAAAAAATTATTAACAGGAAAAATGATGAGAGTAGAAGAAGAAGAAAACCTGTGCATGGTTTGAAACAGGGTTGGTCGAAGCTAAAAGATTTTTTTATCTAATCCCGCCCAATTAATGGGAGATTGTGAGAATAGTTTCATTCAAATTTCCTTTAATCACTTTTATAAGTGTTAACTGGTGAATATAACTTGAAATACAGACTAATGCTAACTGATATCGAGTTAACGTAATGTTGCTATGGTTACTCTCTATCCTCTATTTCTCTAATCCATTTCAAAATTAAAAGATAATTTTATAAAAATAATGATCACAGAAAAAGCCAAAATAAAGAAACAGAAAAAGGTCACAGAGTTATGGAGGTCAAAAATGTACACTTACACTACCGTCAAATTGACTGCTCTGGGAGTCAGTCAGTCCTCGTTCTACAGCCTGAGTCCTGGATCCACAGCCTGTCTGTGGGAGCGGATTCCTCTGTCAATATTTCCCAAGCTTTCTCCCATTTCCCCCTTTTTTTTCTTTAGTATTTCTTGCTGAGCGTCTGAGGACACATTCTTGGACACTTATTAACACTTGTGGATAGTGTCATTCTTATTCATGCTTTTCCTGTGTTCGAACTGTTCTCTTCTCTGATCTGTTGCTGGTGAATTGACAACTTTGTAAAGTCCTCAGAGACGACTGCTGTGATTTAGGTCGTTACAAAAACAAATAGAAAGGAATTGAATTAACAAAGCAAAAATAAAACCAGTACAAAAAAGTTTCTAATCTAAGCATTCTAATCTTCCCACATTATTTAGACCAATGAGGTGAAAAAAGATCATTTACAAACACTGGTCTAAAAACCCCACATTTCTCTCCTCTGCGCGACATCTGTGTTTCCTCCACAGCTCCTTCAGATCAGTCTTCTTTCATATTGTTGGTTTTAATTGATTGGTTTTAATTGATTTCATAATTTCCATAATTCCCTATTTACTAGTTTGGAATATTCATTTCTACTTGATTTTTTAACCGTTCTGGAGCAAAGCTAAAGGTGTTTTGTACATTTCGATGGAAGATATTTGTGACCCTATTCTTTACTTGCAATTGACGTCACGTCTGCCTCATTACTTATGCGTAACAGGAAGTGGTGGTCAGCCGAGCTCGTTGTTCACTAGAAGCGTGTCTAAATATGCCTTTTGCGTGTGTTGTTTTAGGTTGTTCTAAGTGATCGAATCGCGAAAAAAATAAAAGATACTTTAAGGTTCCTCGTGAAGAGATTAATAAATAGCCTCACACTAAGGACTTTAAGAAAAGATGCAAAGAAAAGTGGCTCGCTAACATTTCACTAACAAACGCTTTTACATCGAAGGATTATTTATTTACCCAGCCATGCAGTCACAATGCCCTGTTATTACATCCTCATCTGTATCTGTTTTTTAATTAACTTTCAGGTATGAGTTGGCGTTTTAGATAAACACTGTGAATGTTAGACCTGAAAAAACACAGCCACAGACGCTTTGTTGAGAATGACAAGTTCATTCACCAACCGTTACTTACACGGCTCTTTACGATGCAGGATTTGTCCTCCAGGACCTTAACTCTGAGTTCCTTAACCCACAGACAGTTGTAGCATCCATGGTTTTCCAAGCCGTCATTTGTTTAGCAGTGCAAAAGCTTGATTGTAACACTGGATAGTTTGAGATATCCGGGAACTGAACTGGCGGATATTTATCCAACTCATAACTCAAATCATTCTTGGATATATATATACCTATACACAATTTGACTTTTTCAATGTATGGATCTCGAGAATTAGAATCTAAATGACAATCTAGGATTGTGTCTTTAATTCAGACATGTTTTATTACGGATTGTAGAGACAGAACAAAGACGTTACAGAATGTAAGTGATATTATACAGCAGAGGAATGGAGTCCTCCTATCATCCAGAAGCCAGAAGCTTCAACCTTGATATTACCAAAACATGTGGTGGAAAAATACTGCCTCGTGCATATTGTTAGAACGATGAGTTAGAACTTTAACCGCAGTAGCTTCAAAGTCTCATTAAATATCCAAGAAGCAAAAAAATACTCGGAAGAAGAGTGGCATTTTATTCGCATATCAGCAGCAATTAGTGTTGGCCTGACCACCGTCACGTGACTGCAAGCCAAGAATTGTCTATTTGCGCTATATACTGTGTTATTTAATCTAAATCCATTTACAGCTGCAGAGCCTTTGAAACCACAAACAAGCAACTATGTAATGTAATACATGTAAATAGTTCCTATAAATGTCAAAACACTTTGATTCTATTTTTTTTTCACATGTATTTTTGGTCTCTGTCATATATCTACATGGCTTTGTTTCCAATCACTCAATCAATCAGCTTTCATTATGCAAATTATACCATGTTCTCTAATGAGATAAAGGCAGCATGTTGTGGTCTCATTAGTTCACAAATGTTCCTTAATCAAGACAAATCAAGTCTGTTGGCAAAAACAAAATGTATTTATGGAACAAAAACATTAGATACGTTAGATTTATCATGTGTCAGACGTTAGTGAAATGCAGTTAAGAATATTACACTGAGATCATCTTATCCCCGCTCTCAATAAATGATGGTTAAACTATATTTTTATACATAACATTTTCATTATATAGTTTTTGAATTTTCTCTATGGTTCTATGGTTCTATCCAAACGCCATCCTTATAAGAGAAAAATGTATTCTCTGCAAAACTCAGGTCTGACTTGTGCCTCTTGTGTCGCCTGTCTCTCTGTGTGTGCGCCTCTGTTGTGTCTGTGCGTGTGTGTGTGCGTGTGTATAACTGTGTTTGTGTGTTGTCTTGATGTTTGAGTGCGGGTGCGTGTTTCATTCTCAGCTGAAGTTCGACAGTGACGGTGTGTGCGTGTGCTGTGAGCTCCAGCAGCAGAGCTCCAGCTGTAACAACCTGGGAGAGACGCTCAAACTGAACCCACTGAGGGACTGCAACACCATCCGCCTGCGCCTCAAGGTGAGAGGCCCCTACACTCACCAAACCACAAGGGAAACACAATATGCACGATACTGACTGTAAAACGGTTACTTGATGCAACAGACTACATAGGAATGGACAATGCTCATTCAAGTTTTGCTCCATCTCGCTTTGGCTTTATTCATTCACTCGCTCTGTAACCATTTTTGTCACTGTTTTGGCCTTGAAAAATAGTGTTTTTAAGCTCTGTTTGAATCTGCTGTTTGGATTTTGATATTGTCTTTTTAAATCTATATAATGAGCCCTAAAACAGACCATTGAGGTGCTTTCTGTCCTTGAATTTGTCGAGCAAAGGTGCGAGCATGGAAAGACCAGCGGCGATCCTGATTGGCTCTTTGGTTGCTAGGTCGTTGCTACTTAGACTCAAGGTCCATACTAAATATAATATAATCTAAAAAAGAGAATATTTGCTTTTATGTTTTCGACCACATCCAAATGCCAAAGTAAAAGCAACACAACTGGCTCTAAACAACAACAAAATTAACAATTTTTCCTACCACACGTTCTCATAAACAAATTGTCTTTTTTTTAAATCTGTGTAACATACTGTATATGTCTATTGTCACAATGGTTGAATGCGTGTAGGACTGGCTGTATGATTGGTTCAACTCTTGCAAATCACCTAATGTACGCTGATGATGTTGTTGTATTGAGTCCAAGCAGTGCTGGCCTCCAAGAACTTCTTCATGTTTGGTCTGTAATATGACGTCAAGTATGGTCTGGAATATGACGTCAAATATAATGCCAGCAAGAGTGTCATAATGATTTTACGGACAATAGATGACAAAATCTTGAAGTTTCCCCAATTTAAATTGTGTGAAAATAATCTGATATTGAGTAGCAAATATAAGTACTTGGGACATTTTATTACTGAAAACCTGTCTGACGATGACGATGTGTTACGGCAGTGCTGCATGATGTATGCACAGGCCAATAGGCTTGTGCGCAGGTTTGGTGCATAAGATAAGATAAGATACATAAGAATTCCTTTATTCGTCCCACAGTGGGGAAATTTTGATGTATCGCACATATAGGACAGTAGTAAGAGCACACAGGGAGCACACACAATATATACACTATATACAAATAAGTAGTAGCTATGTTTCTTAACTAACATAACTAGCTGTAGATGCTGAAAATGCTTCAATACCAGTCAAAAACATATATATGTAGTAGTGCAGTTATATACTGTACAGTTAAATAGTGCAGGATAAAAAGTATATAAGTAAAGTGACATGAGGTAAAGTGACATTGTTCTGTGACATCCTGAAGTTGCAGTATTTCACATTGCACATGATTTAAGAATTTACTTAATTACAGATGAATGAAATTTACAGACTCAGCAGTTCTTATTGTACAGTCTGACAGCAGCAGGTGAAGTGAAAAAGACACTTTTTAAAGCTTATTGTACACACTTAAATATATATATATATATATATATATATATATATATATATATTACATAGACAATCCAGCATGCGGAAGCTAAATTGTGGCGTACAATGACTGCCTAAGAATCCTGTTGAAAAGGCCTCGTGGGAGAGTGCCAGCCTATTATTTGTTTCTTCTGGGATTCGAACTTTTCGTGCTGTCCTAAGAAACCTGATGTACAGATTTATTTGTCGACTGAATCAATGTCCGAACGTGATCATAATGAGCCTGACCAACATCAGAATCAGTGCCACACAAGTCTGAACTGTGGCGTCACTGGTACAATAGTCTGCTGTAATAGTGTATGCTTATTTTTATGACTATTTTTGTTTTTGTGTAATGTCTTTCTTATCTGGACTTTGTGTCTGTAATAAAGTTTAATATATTGTATTTGCTTGTATGAGTAACTTCAAATATAATATTGACACAGGAAGTAGCAAAGAAAACTTTTACTACTAAGTGCCGTTGCTCTACCCACCTCTGGGGAGACTCTCTTATCAGTCCAACGTGCCTCAAGTTTACAAGCTACATGTTACAACTGAGGGGGAATGTGCTGAGAAATTATTAAAAAACAATTGAATATAATCAATTTTACTGATTCACATAGAGCCAGGAGCTTTTAGAGACAGATTAAGAATTGTCTTCAAGCATTCATTTAATTAGGTTCATACTCACTCCATAGTTATGTCACTTTTGCTGACTCAGAAGTAATCCTTGTAGGAAAGGCAAGTTTATTTGTGTTGCTTCTCTGTTCTATGTACGTGGACAAAAAAAGATCTATCTATAGCACATTTCATACACAAGGCAACAACAACCGGGAGGAGACCCCGGGGAAGACCCAGGACACGCTGGAGGGACTATGTCTCTCAGCTGGCCTGGGAGCGCCTTCAGGTCCCCCCCCCCCCCCCCCCGGACGAGCTGGAGGAAGTGTGTGTGGATAGGGAAGTCTGGGCGTCTCTGCCTATAGACTGCTGCCCCCGCGACCTGGCAACGGATGAAGCGGAAGAAAATGGATGGATGAATGGATGGCAACAACAACACAAAATAGGAACAATATAAAAACAATCACACAATGGATTAAAATCATAAATAATCACAGAACATTAAAAAGACTCAAGATTCAATCCTTCTGTTTTATGCAGAACAAAACTGTACTTTTCCTGTACGTGGATTTGAAAAATTTCAGATTGTTCCAGATTTTTATATACATTTGAAACACTGCCTCTCTGTGTTTAGTCCTGGAGGAGAGTAGCTCTAAACAGTGACAGACTTAGGCATTTTGGGGACAAAGTCAAACTCTGACGACGGGGCTCTCCTTCATAGATGCAGTTCTAATATAGTCTGCATGTCAGTGTGAAAAGGAGTTCTTACCCTTCTGCTTCTTGTGAGTTCTGTGACGGAAGACTTGTCTCTCTTTTGTGTCCTTAGGCAAGACACTTCACCCACAATGTCTCGTTTGAATCTATTGTGCGCGTGAATAGATGGTGATCAATGTAAATTGCATAAGTGTGAGTGTATTCTGGCGGAGCAGATTAATTGGGTGAGAAGAAGGGTAGTGCGTAGTGGCAGCGTGTGTCTTTCCCCAGAGGCTCAGCGCTCAATACTCAGCCGCAGCGTCAGCACTGAACTGACCTGAGAGCTGCACTTTATGGGATCAAAGCCTCAGCCAAGAGCATCTACTGTATGACAACATAAGTCAGGGTTGCAACGTGGCGATCATAGTTTAGGTGTTTTTGGGTTGCAAGATTGAAAAGGAATTGAATGTTGTATGAATGCAACAGTTTAGATTGACCTGAATTGCTTGTTGTTTTTATATTGACTGGATTTAAGACAATGTTTAACCAATTGTCACTGTTGAAATGAGCATCCATGTTATTTCATAGCACAAAAATTAATCAATTAAATCAATAAAGCAAATTTGGTTTTATAAAGTGTTTTACAGACCAAAATTAATACAACCAGGCAATAAAAAGTGTGCAAATACATATTAAACAATTTGTAATTAAACACAACCACTGGTATCGTCTGTCTTACATGCGCACGGAGATTGTTCTAGATTCTTTGCTCATCAGTGTCCAGGAAGCCAGTCCCTGTGCTACTTGGACTCTCAGCAGGAGGCCAGTCCCTGTGCTCCCTATTGTCCAAGTTGGTTTCCAATGGCAAAAACATGTTACTATCAACTTTTTTTTGAAGTTTTTTTTCTGGGCAAAAGATTAAACAGAAAGAGAATAGAAGATTTTAAGACCACATGCCTCTTTGATTGACTGTGATAGCAAATGCAATAGTTCGAGTGATAGAATGTGAGGCGAGTCATTTGCCATCACTTCTCATGGAATCAGCTCAGAAGTGTCATGGTCATCAGATGTATTGATATATGGCTTAGACCTGCTCCCTGCAGTTTACTTTGCCTTTAATAAATGTGCCGGCGTTAGAATAAAAACCCATTCTCCAGGGAAATGCAATATTTCCGAGCAGTACATTTTGAAAATGGAATCTACATCTCATGCATATTCACAATCATTTGTGGCAGAGCACTTCACGTTGTTGTGTCTGCATGTAAATCTCTGTCTGTCTTATACATTCTGGCATCTGTGAGCAGGGAAAGGGAGGGAAAGAGCCAATCATTTGTGATTTCCTGTAACGAGATAGGTGCATGACCTTGCCCGATAACCACACTGGTGCCACAAACCAGTGTGGTCAGAAAGTAGAAGCTATGTCCCGGCGGTGAAGGTCATGGGTTCGAGCCCACCACAAGACTTTCTCCACTGACTCCCACTGATGTCCGCTGTGTCCTTGGCAAGACACTTCACTTCTGGGGCGGCTGCGGCTGTAAAGTGCCAAACTGCTGTTGTGTCCTTAGGCAAGACACTTCACCCTCATTGCCTAGAATGAGTCTGGTGTGTGTGTGAATGGTTGGTGGTGGTCAGAGGGGCCGATGGCACATACTGGTTGTCTCGCTTCTGTCAGTGTGCCCCAGGGCAGCTGTGGCTACAGTGGTAGTTTATCACCACTGTGTATGGAGTGAATGAAAAGTGACATGTGAAGTTTGAGGGTCCAAATAAGCGCTATATAAAACCGAAGCATCATTATTAAAATTACTGCTACTCTATAATTATTATTATTAAGAACACATAAGGTTTATGCGCATACAAAAGACAGACAGACAAAATGAGGAACAGACAAAAACAGAAATCAGAGTCAGATTTGGCAGAGCCTCGGACGCGAGTGAGTGCAAACATATCAAAGCATTTACAAATTATACAAATTACAATGTTTTTGACTTTCTATGTATTACTATGAAGTTTTGTCAAAAAAGATAATTGAATTGAACTGTAATTTAATCCAGGGAGAAATACTGGATCATATACTTTTACCACGTGACAAATTGATATACTGTCATGTGAAGTTTATTTTAAAAGCATCATATAAAACTAACCTCAAGTGCTCATGTCATGTTCAAAACCACAAACAATTACTACATGAAAACAGCTTGATTTATCATTAAACTGTGGTCAAAACAAATTATTCTGTCCCTTAGTCTTAATCAACTGAACGTAAGCAAGGGTTATTCTGGAACTAGTCGGGTGCAATTACCGTCTCATTTATTTGGTGATACATAATGAAAATTGCTCTAGAATAAAGCCACTTAGAGCTGATTATTAGAGCTTTCATAATAATAGCATATGGAGACATCAAAGGGCTGCAGCGGTCTGTCCCCACACGGTTGGTCTGTGCATCTCTTTGCTCCAGGCTTCTTGCTGCTTAACAAACACTAGGCTCTTTATTATGTACAAGGTCGACTGCTTTATCTGTATGTTCCCGTTACATGTAGTCTTTTAATATCAACCCTCTCCCCCACGGTATGTGAATAAGTCAAGTACGAATTAGGGTTTGACCAATTATCGAGACGGGTTGATAACGTGATTTGAATGACCAAAAAAGCACCATATTAAACCAATGCATTATTTTTTTTGTATTAATATTAATTATCTGTGTGTGTATCTGCCCTGAACAAGCCACAGTCACTTTACCTGCTGCTTTTATTACTATAGTATATTCTGGTTATATTCTCTGCTGTTCAAGTACAATAAACATCTGTAATTACCTCCTGCTACTTCACTTGTGCACTTTCCTTAACCAAGTGCAATTACTGTATATCACCAGAGTTGTATGTAATTTTATTTTATTTGATTCAGATTCATTTTATTTGCCATTTGCAGTAAAACCACATTCGAATACATTTGTAAAAGTCCCCAGGTTAAAGCTACAGACATAAAACCAACTAAAAAAGTGCAGGAAACAATTGCCACTGTGAAATTGATCAACTAAACTTATTATTATTATATTATTACTTAGTATTTTAGTTAATTGTATAATCTATAATACTAGATCCCTGTTTGAAATGAGAGCTCTTGTTTCCTACTTTTATATTCTGCTGAAATGTGTGCAACAATGACAATAATGAGACGAATAACAGGATGAATAAAGCTCTATCTTATCTCATCTTATCTTATATCGATCGACTCGTGGTAAGAATTCTGGTTCCTGTTACCATGTTTGTATATAATTATGCCCAGATCCTCTAACAGCTTGTCTCTGTGCTTTCCCATAGGAGCTGCTGTTCAGTGTGTGCGCCCTGAACGTGATCTCGACTATCGTGTGCGCGTTGGCCACGGCCATGTGCTGTATGCAGATGGTCTCCACTGATGTGCTGCAGATGGTGCGTAGATCATTCTCTTTATTCTATGTAACTTCAGTGTGAGGTCAGAGCCGAGTGCAGCTACTGTTTGAGTTGCAGAACAATAGAGCATAAGTGAGTGATTTTCCAATTCACAAATAGCACATTGTTTGAAATGATTTAGTAAATGCGTCTCTTCTCTTCATTGGCACATGACACGCAAAAAAAAAAAACTTTTTTCCACCTTGCTAAACCCTTTTGCTCTGGACTGTTTAAAATCAGTGTGCAGACCAACTTAGCTGTAGAAGTTATATGATGTCTTGTACATACCAATATTCCATCCATCCATCCATCCATTTTCTTCCGCTTCATCCGTTGCCGGGTCGCGGGGGCAGCAGTCTAAGCAGAGACGCCCAGACTTCCCTATCCACACACACTTCCTCCAGCTCGTCCGGGGGGACCCCAAGGCGTTCCCAGGCCAGCTGAGAGACATAGTCCCTCCAGCGTGTCCTGGGTCTTCCCCGGGGCCTCCTCCCGGTGGGACGTGCCCGGAACACCTCCCCAGGGAGGCGTCCAGGAGGCATCCAGAACAGATGCCCGAGCCACCTCAGCTTGTTCCTCTCAACGTGGAGAAGCAGCGGCTCTACTCCGAGCTCCTCCCGTCTGACCGAGCTCCTCACCCAGTGCATGCTGCGGGTCCTGGTTCGTTGGAGCCAACAGGACAACATCGTCCGCAAACAGCAGAGATGAAATCCTGTGGTCCCCGAACCGGACCCCCTCCGGCCCCTGGCTGCGCCTACAAATTCTGTCCATAAATACAGTGAACAGAACCGGTGACAAAGGGCAGCCCTGGCGGAGGCCAACTTGCACGGGGAACAGGTCTGACTTACTGCTGATGCAAACACAGCTCTGGCTCTGGTCATACAGGGACCGGACGGCCCTCAGCAGAGGACCCCGGACCCCGTACTCCCGGAGAACCCCCCAAAGGACACCCCGGGGAACACGGTCAAACACGTGGACAGGTTGGGCGAACTCCCATGAACCCTTGAGTATCCGATGGAGAGTGTAGAGCTGGTCCAGTGCTTAAAGCTGGGGTAGGCCTACATAACATCCCAGGATTTAACTGTTTAGCGTAATTTTTTTAGGGCACCGCAGGTACCAAAAACTAAAAAATGTGGCATTCAGCTCTCGTGTCACCGATTCTTACTACAGATATAAATATTATTATTTTTAACTGTATTTCTATGTTTTTGCAGTTCATGCCACACAGAGCACGTGCCCTGAACCCGGACTGCATGACCCCACATGGAACCATCCTCCACCAGACCCTGGACTTTGATGAGTTTATCCCTCCGATCCCCCCTCCGCCTTACTACCCCCCAGAGTACACCTGTACCCCCTCCATGGATGCACAGAGGTGACAGACACACACACATACACATGCACACACAATGTCACGAGGGGAACTGCATGGTTAAGGATGTGATGGAGAAGAGGAAAAAGCTTGTGATTCATGAAAGGTACTCTGTGTAATTTTTATAGTTGCTCAAAAAGGAGAAACATGTTAACTAATAACAAATGTGACCTTTTTAAAGAATATTTACCTCCACCATGTTTTTGAATTGTTTTCATAGGCTTAGAAATTGACTTATGAGAAATTATACATGAGAGCTGGAGTACTCATGTCTATGCGCCATCTTGAAATACAGTGGACGATAAGGGACAAAAAGGAGTTTGATTAGGAGTTGGGGACCACTGTCAAAGACAATATATTGTTCTTCAAAGCTACCTTAGTACCGTAAATTACTATATATGATCTCAATGCTAGATGGGACTCAAATCTACACAGTGTACCTTTAAAGCTGGAGTAAACACAAAGAATGACCAATGTGATCGAATCCATGTAAGCCCTCACTCAGCCAATCAGCATTCAGAAAAAATACAACATGCATTTATGAAACAAAAAGCTGAAGAGGCCATAAATATTGCGCAGAGCGAGTAGTGGGAGGGAGGTGTGCGTTCGGAGAGTGTTTGGGCCTGTGTCTCGTCGGGTGTTGTGCTTTTGTCAAGTTGGTGTGTTGTGTTGCGTGTGTGTGATTGTGTGGGTTGTGTTGTATGCGTGAGAGGGGTTGGAGCCAAATAAGCGTCTGCTTCGTCCAGTCTCTTTTTCAAACGGCCTATTTCTGTTTATTTTGAGTCTTGTTTTAATATTGTATCTTGTTTATTGTTTATATTGTTTTCTTTTGCATAACGTTTTTGAATAAGTTCTTACTATACTAAGAATGTGAAAACTTACATGGCATTTATTACACATTTCTTTGTGGTTTCGAAAGTTTTAGCTCAAGGTATAGCCCACGAGCGACAGTAGCTCAGTTGGTGGAGCATTGGCCTTTGGGCCTGAAGGTCGTGGGTTCAAGCCCACTGTAAGACCTACTTCACAACTCCCACTGATGACTGCTGTCGTTGTGTCCTTGGGCAAGACACTTAACCCTAGTTTGCCCAAAAGCCCCAACTGAAAGATCTCAGCTCCTGTGGACTCACCACCTGCAGGAGGATCAGTGAGGGGCTGGTGCTCTGTGTACTGGGTGCAGCTCTGACTGCCACCCCCCCGACCCAGAAATGGATTAAGGGGAAGAAAATGGAAGGATGGATGGATATAGCCCACGAGTTCTATTAGATGGGTTTTTTTTCTTCTAAAATGATCACAAATAATATTTTTCAGTTTGTATCTGGTTATATTGTAACCCTAAAAATTAGGATTATCAACTAAACAAAAATCTTCACATCCCCTGATCTACGTGGTGAATGCTTGACGGCTCAAAGTACCAAGGTAGATTCCAGAGCATAATAGCCCTTATGATGCATTCATAGCCCCACACTGTGTTGAACCCTCTGCCGCTGTCACACCACTCTGACCTCGCCCTCATCATCTCCTCCATTTTCTCCGGTCCAACAACAACGTGTCGCCGTCGCTGGTGAAGCCTCTTGGCAGCAAGCTGCATCTGTTTGTCAATTACGCCATAAATATAAACAAGGCAGTAGCTGCGTTTATAGCCTTGCTGCCCAGTGTCATGACATCATCACAGGCCAATGATTGGTGGAAACGTGCAGGTTGTGTTTCACGCTCTGCCACTTTAGAGGAGAAGAGGTTGGTAATTAAAAGATATGACTGGATGCATGACTGCTCCTCCTTAATTGGTGCCATATGAAACTGGGATGGAGCGCACTTAATAATGCAGTACGGAAGGGTTACATTCAGTGGGGGCAGGTCCCGGCTCCAAAAGGTCCACGAGTATGTGCGCTGACATGCTCGCAATCTCACTCCGGGCCGGTGAGGGTGTACCAGGAAATAGAATTACCCAATGATTTTGTGTGTTGCCTTCTTTCCTCTTGAAAACGCCTTTACCGGATGGTCCAAAAGTTGGCTCTTAGCCCAATGCTACGTTCCAGATGTGTGTCAATGCTGACAGGAGCCATTTTTTTCTGACCAGTCTAGTTTAGCCACTGTGGACTTAAACTTGAATGGGGCTGGTGCCGGCTAACGCATGCGCAAATGCATGTTTTCACATTTTCCTGCCCCGCGGCTATTTAGAAAAATCCCCACAGAAAGCAATGTGTCACATTAATTTCAACGGCGGAGATAGGCGTGACTATGTCGGTTAATATTTACAGTCTATGGTTACATTGTAGTCAATTGGGAAAGCCGGAGATGATGACGTTTAAAATTGTGTCCCTAAACATCTTCTTGTATCTTATGTTGATGACAGGGGGCTGCATTTGGATTTTCCTCATTCACCTTTCAGTGCCATCTACGGGGTTCCCATCAACAGTCCCGGAACCCTGTACCCCACGGACCTGCCTCCCCCGTATGAGTCTGTGGTGGGACAAACTCCGGCCAGCCAGGTTTGTCATATGTAACACACGTCTCTTCCTAGTGCAGACGTCTCATTTACAGAAGGCTTCTTGTTAACTTCTTAATGGAATGAGGATTCTCTAAGGAGTACAGTTTACATGCATAAATTATTTCCAACACTTTCTTCCACATCGGAAAGACTAAAGGAGGGTTCCAAAGAACGTGTATCCATTGTTTAATCTAGAATGTAATATAATTGACAGATCTTCTCTTTTCGTGGAACCTTAACGGGGTAAAGTAAGTTCTTATAGTAGCCTATGTTGAATTTGATGCTCTGACCTTGTTTGGTTGGAATTGCAGTTGCAATTCATATTGAAATAAGGCTAAGCATCTTGTCAGAGAATATTTCCTCTTATCCTTGCACTGTAATTATATATTTTTTAAGATGGTTGTTGATGCATTACCAGTAGAAATGTAACGAGTACAGTGTGGTGTGGTGTTTTAGCCTCCTCTGCTGGCCAACTTTGGAACTTCAACCTATTCACGAAAACTCGTAGGAGCTAGTGTTTTGTCAGCAAGTCAGCCTTGAAATGATTTATATAAATAAAATACTGAATTATTAACATCAAATGAAAACACATTTCAAATGTAGGGAAACCTCAGGACCAGGATTGTTTATGACATATTACATGAATATAGTGAATAGTGAACAAAGTGACAAATGTGCATGTATGTTCACTGTAGGTCACTACCAGCATGGAGCAGCCGGCCACTGGCTCCAGTCAGTGTGATAGAAACACCACTGCAGGACTCAGCACCCAAGGTAAGAGGATACATCATGTCTTTGTGTCTCTATGTGTCTCTCATGTTCAAATGTTTGTCAGCCTCAGTGGACAGTGCCTCTCTGATGGTGTCGGAGGTGGCTGACCCGGACCAGACGTGCTCCTCTGAGGATCTGTGCTCTCTGGAGGTGCAGGGCTCAGACTTGTCTCCGTACGGGACGCTGCACACAGCCCCCACTGACGGCAGCTGCACCAGTCTGGAGCTGTGCACGCGGCACGCACGCTGTCAGCGCGGCCTGTGCACTGAGGTGCGCCCCAGTGACACCGGCTACAGCGAGTCGTCCCACACTCAAGAGGAGCGCTCTCCAGATTGGTCCTCTGGAAACTACAGCAACCTGGACCAGGAGGAACCTGAACACACTCACCCCAGTGCCATGCACATTTGTGACGAACTGGCCTCAGCCAAACACCTACCAGAGGAGCCGCCCAAGTCGTCTGCTCACTCCCTCATAAAGGCTCGTATGATGAGCCGCAAACTGACTCTCCCAGTCACTGTGTCCCCTCCGCCGCAGCCCTGCTCCCCCACATCAGTGGCCTCTTCTGGGGGAATGTCTGCCTTCAGCCCCCTGGCTCCTTCTCTGTCCCCCTCTCCTCCAGCTCGAGCTCGAGGCCCTCGCTTATGTTTCAGTGTGTGGTCTCCTGCATCGTCACAGCCACCCTCCACCTCCTCCACATCAGCTCAGGGCAGCTCCCCGGACAGACCCCGTGGGCTGCGAGCCACCAGGAAGTACCGCAAACTGGCACGCATCGTCCGCTCCACCAGCGACCCTCTGGCCTGCTCCACCACCTCACGAGGTCTGTTTGAAATTATGAATTATATGCAAACATAACTTCACAAATGTATTATTCATCTAATATGTTTTAGGGGAGAATTATGGTTGTGCTGCTGCTAACAACCCAGCTGAGGATTCAGTACGTGTTTCGCCAGAGCAAGGTAAATAATTCTTTGTAAAAAGGCTCAATATTGTCTCTCATTCATGCATGATGGAAAGTTCCAAAGGTGGTCATTTAGACCATGTTTTTGACTCTCATCCAAGATGGGATTTCACAAACACTCATAGGAAAAAACACATTTGAAACTTCTGCCAATCTACCAATTTTTTTATGTTAGTGTCCAGCAAATCGAGTCACACCAGCACTAAAAAGCAGCCGAAAGAAGCCAAAAAGATCGACCTCCAGGTGAAGTCCCGGGCCATGCACACGCACCTCTCTCAGGAGCGGCCTCACTCTCTGGCTGACCTGAAGATGTACAAGGACACCAAGATCCTTGTGGCCAAGTTTCTGGAGCACTCAAGCTGCTCTCTACCTCCTGAAGTCCAGCAGGTCGTCAACAACATCAAATGTGTCATCAAATCAGACGAGAAACACATGGAGGAGGCCATTTACAGTGCCAACGTCATAGACCAGGTATAATATCCCGATTAGATGCACTGCTGTTAAATGAAATACTGTAGTGGGATCAATAAAGACTGTCTAACAGTACATTTATATGAATAAATAGGCCATTTCAAATCCCTTTTTACTGTTTAAAGTAGTCCTTCAATCACTCTGTGCTCTGGATGAGAGCCCAAACATTGTATCTTGAGAAAGTAGTTGACAATGTAAGCTATGTAAGAATAAGAAAATGAAACGTTGAGGTTAAAGTGCCACCACGTTTCTCCCATACCAGTACTACTAGTGCTACTACTTTGTTCCATTGGCTGTCTTCCAGAGTAGGGAATTAAATGTATCTATTTCCATGGAGAATGTTCTTCTTTAAGCCAACAGTATTCTTTTTCTTTTGGACTCAAGACATGTACAGAGTATTATTTAACCCTTTTTGCAACATGTTAGAAGAGTATTATTTTTACTTCTCAACAAATATTCTGACTACTATCGCTACTACCACTACTACTTCTACTACTTCTACTACTACTAACTGTTGTTACCACCTGCTAAACTGACTGCTGGGGTATCTAACTTTTTTTTTCTGTTACAAAAATAATACATTGTCTGTCCCAACAGAAATCTTGTAAAATTTGGTATTTACAAGACTCTAACAAGATAAGACCCTAACCCTAACCCTGAGAGCTGATTGGCCTCTCGTTTCCAAAAAAGCTGACAGAGGTCAAAACTACATGCATGTGAAAAGCAGTTATAGAACTGTTTACATTGAATCTATAACACAATATAGTTACATTTATTGTGATTCCAAAGCTTTCATTTCTGTCCATTGTAAATATATTGAAAAAAGATTGACCTTCAAAAACACAATTATATTATCGCTTTTTGTCTGCGTAGATGATGACTCAGCGAATCACTGGCAGTCCCAGAAAACACACGTACGAGGACCTGCACCTCCAGAGCTGCGGGGCCCTGAGCTCGTCCCCATCCCCATCCCTGAATCGGCCCCATCAGCCACACACAACCAGCGCATCCACCAACCCTCCGGACTCCCCCAGCTCAGAACAGGCTGTTTTGAGCAGAGAGACTATTCTTTGACCCTAATGAGAGCACTGACAGGTCATTTCAGGGCAGAGAAAGCTTCATGTCCGAGCGGTGACTTGCGGCTGCGCCTGGAGATTAAGTGCATAGTGGGATTGCAGCCGGTTTGCCCAAAATGGACTCCATGTGTCTTTGATAGTGCCCAGAGAGACTGTGCCAAGTTATCAGCAGAAATGGTAGCAAACTCGACACTGAGCCTGCCTGTCTGTAGTGACTAATTTTCTCATCAACAGGAATGTTTCTCCCTCAGGGGACGTTTTCTACTGAATTTCATCTATAAAGAGTTATACACTTCTGCTATGTTGGATGTTGGAGTGCCAGAAAATGATTAATGTTGCTCTTTTCCTTTGAAGACACAAAGGGAATTTGTTATTTTGTATTAAACTGTGAACTGACCAGCCTGGGCATATAAGCCATTATTTTTCAGGCGTTGTGGAGCTGTTTCTGATGGTGAGGTGGTGTGTAATTTGTAGTGCCACTGGTTCAAGAACATTGCAGATGTGGAGTATTTAACTTACCTCATTGTGTTAAAATTCTTATCAGTGTTAAAATAAACTATGGATTTGTATGTGGTGTTTGGCTCTTAATTTGACTTGATTTAATGTGAATTATAATGTGACTTGGATGACTTTAGATTAATCATGAGCTTTACATACAATATCACAACAGCCATTTAAGCTTCAGTATAAAAGACTTGAAAACATGACCATAGGCTGTAAAAAAAACAGGACACATGATTTAAACTATTTTGTGTCTTTTAACAAAACAAATGAGAAATTGATGACGAAAATGTGTGTATTCTTCATTGCAAATGTTAAACAAACATGTGTAAAAAATAAAGGTTAAAGGTGAAATAAATGTTTTATTTTGACACAGACCGGAAGCATTCTCTCGTATCGCTGTGTTGAGCTTTACAGGAAAACAAGACCTGGAATGAGATTTGGAGAAGCTGCGTCTGTCTGTCTCTATGAAGAGCCCTCATTCGTGTAGGCCTCGCTGTTATGTGTCTGATGTCTTTCATGTAAATACGCCTTAAAGCTGGTCTTTGACGGTGTCGTTGGAGCCTTGTTAGCAGTGCACAGGTGTTAGCCGTGTTAGCTCCGCGCTGCTTCTGTGTCTGTAGATGCTAGCCCCGCTCCTCTGGTCTGTCTGTGAGCTGTGCTTATGTTGTGTTCTGTACTGACTGTAAACTGTCCGCTGTGAGCTGAGAAGAGCTGTCTGTGTCCCTGCTCCGTCCACGTCTGTGCTGAGCTCTGCCAGCTGGACAGGCCACGTCCCCCGGGCGGGTCGGCTCCACATTGGACCATTGAGCTGCGGAGATCAGAGATGTGTAGTTTGCGGAAGCAGGACTCACTGGAGATCAAAGATGTGAGGAGTGTT